TAAAATAGAACATAAAGGAGAAAAAAAAAAAAAAAAAGAAGACTGCAATATATGGCAGAGATGTAACATATCTTCTATGTTACAAGGGGCGAGGCAGGAAGGACACTAATTGTTTTTAACTCCCTGACTATTTCATTTGTTCAAGTCCTTAGTATATTTAAGTTAACAATTAATTGCAATTATTTAAAAGTGGCTTGATTGGAAAGGCATCAAAAGTTTTCCTCAATCCTTACTGTAGCACTGGAGACATAATGCATGCGTTAGGTTGGCAAATACAGGAGGCTGTGTCATGATCAATGCCTAGATTATGACCCATCTCATGGCCCATTGCAGATGCAACACTACCTGTGAATTTGTTGTAATCCTGAAGAAAAGAGAATATTTTATTTATTGTTAGTCCATCAAGAAACTGAAAGTGAATCAAATTATTATTAGCACTGAGTGGCTAAAAAAGTGACATCTCAGAATTTCTCTAGCTAGCTCTTCTGAATGCATATATGCCCACCAAGACTCCAGAACATACACTAATACATCCAGAAAAAAACTTTAAAGCCCAGAAGCTACAGCACAGAAGAAGATCCAAACCTATGCATCCATTTGCTGTCTGCATTTATTTAGTTACAAGCAACGTCAGTCCAAAAATATTCAGCATTTTTTGTACAAGTTAGCATTTTCAGAATATTAAAGGCTGAAGCCCTAAACAGATTTAAGGATGAGTTGCTGTTTCTGAATAAAAAAAAAGTCTTTCTTGAGCAAACAGGTTTAGGATTACCTCATACTATCCATATCATAACTCTGCTTATTAAGAAACAAAACTTCTACATTATTTCTATGTGAATAATAAACTAAGTTTACTGCTTTTCAATAAATGCATAGCATCACCTTAACTAATATGGTTTTCTTGCAGGATCTTAAAATACTGCACTTTTTTAAAAAGTAGATTTAGTATTCTCTCAATCGTCAATGTACCTTAATTCAATCATATGCGATCTAGATTCTAAATTTCTTGGAAGAAAAGAAGAGTGATTCATATTTGTCATTATGATTGCTAAGAATATTGTTCAGAAGCATTATTTGGGAGTATTGTAACTTGATTTGACCTGCTCATTTACCAATCAGAGCACAATTTGACTCCTCCTGATCCAGAAACATTATAATATATTGTCACCTTCTGATATATAGCTCATTACATACAAAAAGTTCAATCTACAACATGTCTAAAATGCATTGTGCCAAAATGTTATCAATTGAGGCAGGACCTGGAGATGTGAAATGCACAAACAAATATGGATGAAAATGACATGGATCAAAAATCAGAAGACCCTTTATTTGTAAAGATGTTATGCCTGTATATAAGTTTTCACTTGAATACAAATAGGTAACGGGTATACTTTCTACTAACCTGAACAATTGCTACAGAATTATATGACTGGCAGATGGTGCCCAAATAAGCCAATCCTATAGTTTGTCCATCGAAGTTAATGCCCCTATAAAAAAGAAGAGGAGGGGGATAAAATTTATAGAAAATAAAAGCACATTATGTAGTCTTAGGACATACATAACTCTCCATGGCTCTTTGCAAACCTCTCATCTCATCCTCAGTTACTCTCAGTTTTCAGAATGTTAGAATTCATTTTAGGCTCTAATCTCAGATGCCATTTAACTAAGCAGATCTTTTAAACATATTCATGATGCATTTTCACTATATGGTGATTTGGCTGGTGTTAGCATTAATTAATTAGGAAAGAGGTTGTCTGAATCCAGCCCATTAGCTTAATTTAAATTTCATTATCTATGAAAACCCCAAATACGTATTTATACATATTTTGTCTATCAATTTAGCTGTGTGGTTATTAAAGACTAGATAGGATTGGAAAAGGAGATTGGATGATAAGTCAAATCAACATCTGTGGAAAAAATTGTTTATTTTAATATTCTCCCTTGCACCTAGATCTTCCCTCCACTTAGCCACTAACATATTTCATAAGACCAAGTTATTATGCACATATCATATAGGATTGCTCAGAAAACAATTATTATTTGTCCAATGTCTTATAGATATAAGACAACAAATGTGTCAATTTCCCACTCATGAAATTGTGTGACAATATATAGGCTGAAGGGGTGCAGAACTGAGCAGTTAAGAGTGGTAGGTGAATAGTTTGTGACCTTAGTACTTCTTGATGCAGTGAGCTCATGTTACTTGCTCCAGTTCCTGCCAACCTAGCAGTTCAAAAGCACACAAACATAAATAGATAAATAGGCACCATTTCGGTGGGAAGGTATAGCATTCTGTTGCTTTTGGCATTTAATAATGCTGGCCATGTGACTATGGAATTTTCTTTGGACAAAGTTGGCTCTTCAGCTGTGCTATTCCTAAGCACTATAAATAGATTGGGTATTTTATTATTTTAGTTTATTCTTGGTTTATCTGTTGTGTAATACAAGTATTCTTTTAATTGATGCAGAATGTGAACTAAAACATTACTTAATTAAATTAAAAAAATCATGTGTAAATATGTGTATTGCTGAGCATTATAAATATATTGGATATTTTATTATTTTACTTTATTCTTGGTTTATCTGTTGTGTAATGCAAGCATTCATTTAATTGATGCAGAGTGAGAACCAAAGCATTACTTAATCAAGTTAAAAATGCATGTGTAAGTACAGGCAAAGCATAGCAGGATAATCATTTGAGTTTTAATTTTAAATCCAGGTGAAATGAAATCAAGCTGAGTTTTTGACCTACAATCCATTCAAGGACTTCTCAAAACCAGCTCTCATCTACAAAAAAAAAAAGTGGCTGACTTTGATCCAGAGATATGGTTCACATATGGTTTAAAGAATACATCATAGAGCGGAAACTCTGTGCAAGCAATAACCTTCCCATAATCCTCCACTCCCAACCTCCCCCACAATGAGACGTACGTGAGTAACTGAGCATTATCATTCCTTTTGCGTGGCAGCAAATCTGTTTCTCTCCATCTTGCAAATGAGTCCAAAGTGACACTTGCCGCTGGTTGCACATCAATCTGATCTTCGTTGGACCAAATTTCTATGCCAATCAGTGCTAGATGAATATTCAGAATTCTGAAAATCTGTCAGGTGGGCATGAGAGCAATCAGAAACTGAAGTACAATTAAACTTTGAGAAACGTTTCAAGATTAAAAAGCAACTAACATTGGCTTCTATGGACAGGTGAACAAAATAGATCTAGGAATGAAAAGGAGAGAAATCTCTGTAGCTCAAGATTGAATTGTAGAATCCTTGGTGCTCTCTGAGTTTGCTACTTTGGTTACAGAAGTAAGTTCTTTAGTGAGATAATGAAATCTGCAAGCTCTAACAGCATTATGGACTCTATATATTGGGGAATAAGAATAATGTACATTAAGTAGAATAAATAAATAAAATGACAAAAAGAAGCAGGTAATTATTCTCTGTAATCAGGAATAGAAGAGGGATATTTGGCTTATTGATTTTTCTGCTGTCTCCCTGATTCCAACAGATCATCAACAGTGAAAATGTAAAAAAGGCTAATAGGACACTACAATATGAATGTATCTCCTCCTAGGTACCACAATCCAACTCAAATTAAGTTCCTCTCTGCAGGTTGCTTCTCAGGGATCACTTTCACAAACAATTGGCTGAGTCTGTCCATCTCTTTCTACTGTCCAAGTTCAGAACCATTAACCACAGCCCTCAAAGAATCTAGCTATAGGCGTTGTTCTGACTGAATTCTTGCAACACTTTTGGATTTGCAACCTCTCAACACAGTGGCTGTATTCACATAAGAGGCTTATTAACCTAGTTACTGAATTAACCCATTTTATGGGATGGTCTTATACGTTGAAATCACCATGCTGCCCAAATGATCTCTTTTTGCCTCACTCAAAGCCACAAAGGCTAGCATTCTTATAGAAGTCCAACTCCTAGCTCTCTTTACCTTACATAAGGTAAATACATAACACACTTAACTTTACCTGGTTAAGTGTGTTATGTGAAAATCTGGGATGGGCCTGAGAGAAGTTTAAATCCAACAAGTGAAATCATTTTTGCCATGTCCTCTTACCATATTTAAAGTGTTGACAAGTTCATATACTCTTGTGTTTATAGCAGTTACATTGCTCTTGTATTTCCTGAACTACAGAAAAGACAAAAAGTTAAGATGAGATCATAATTATCGGAAGAAGGGAGAGAAGGACGAAGACAAAGAACATTTCAGTGAAAGGATCATTGAATTTGTTGATTTAGACACAATATTACTTTTTCCCAAGCAGTCCAAAGAATTCTTTTGTGCTGATTTTTAATCTACATCTGTGCTATTAATATATTAACATTATTAATTTTTCAACAGCATACATGTGCTCTCCTCCTGGTTGGAGAAAATTTTGGTCAGCTTACTGAGATTCTTTCTTAAATTGGATGCCATATTTCCACATTTAGAGAAGTGTAACATACTAAGCATTATCCACTAGACATCTTATTCTTAATGTGTTGCCAACACGGATATACAAATTGTGCAAGAATGTTTCAAAGAAACCTGTTGAACTGTTTAACTAGCTTGTGATAAAAAATAAATTTAGATAGAATCCAGGAAGAACAAGTGTGCAAATTAGAGTATATTTACAAATATCTTCTAACTTTGTAAATATTGGTTGGGTCCAATAACAAAGAAATATCAAAGTTTATGATAAATCACATGTCAAGAGAAACCCAGTTTGGATGTTTGTTAATGTCTTCAAAAATGCCCACATTAAAAAAAGCAGAAACAAAATGCTGTACTCAATGCAGAAAGTAAATGGAATGATATCCAGGATACTTACCATTACGTTGTCCACAACTATGAAAACCTCAATGTATTTTGGGGCCAGCAAGTATCTTCGTTGCTAAACAGAACAAAACAATAAACAAAAGTCTGTTCAGACATGTTGCTCCCAGCAGCCAACAAGAATCTTGGTCATCATCAGATAATCAGAAAACTGCTTGTTATACTTCCTGGTCAAAGTACTGGGCCTTTCAGAAATATTGGCTCTTTGAAGAAGACATTTATAGGGAGACAGATTGTTTAAATTTTAGCACTTAGAGTGAGGATCCCCAACCCTTGGGCCACAGCCCGCTGCCAGGCCTTGGAAGTGGTGGGCGAGCATTGGCATGAGCATGTGCATCTCCACTTGCATGGCCAGCAAAAAAGCATGGATGGACATGCTCCATTTGCCCAAGTGAGGGCATGTACATGACCCCCATTGCTCACATAGAACCATCCCCTTTCTCCCCCTACCAGTCGGCAAAGCTGGAAAAATTGGGCAACTCTGACTTAGCGAACGTGTTGATAAATTTTTGAGGAAAAATTATGCCATGGATTGTGAAACAGAAACAAAAGTTGTCACCTTAAAAAAAAAATTGTCACGACACGAATCCCTTTCTTTGTATTAATATGGTGTGGCACTTGATTCCAATTAATTTCTTTTTGGGATTTATGATGCCAACATTTAAAGATAAATTTATATATGAAAATCTAGTTCTGAATAGAATTTAATAGGATTAAATACAAGCATGTGAAGGAATTGCTTTCTTTGACCTATTTTTCAGCCTGATGCTCCAATGACTTTCTCACTTTTCNAATACAAAAAACTCTGTTGGCTGGCAAGAAGTAATTTGCCGAGATCCTTTTCTTACCTCTAGCTCAGCGTTCTGAACTTCTCCTTTGGGCAATGAATGGACTTTTTGTGGATACACTACTTCATAATCATTAACATTCCCAGATTCCAGGATTATAGAGGTCCCTTTGTAAGGGGGGAGGAGAGAAGAAGAAGAAAGCTTTGTATTACTTTGGGATGCTATTCTACCATTCTCACATTCACAACTCAGTTTGTTCTTCAATTATCAGTGAAGAATGGAATCTTTTTCTAGTGGAAGAGACCACACAAATCCAGGTTTTCTTTGGGTACGCAATTTGCTGAATGTGTTGGACAGCTGGGAGACTATCTAGAAGCATTATTTGGGCAGGTGCAAAAGAAAGAATTTGGAGCGTGAATAATCAGAAAAATAAATAAACAAATCTCACTGAATGTGCAAGTTTGTGCACTGTATGATAATTACAATAGTGTAAATCATACTACATTATTAACATTTTGCTTCAATAATTTTTCTTGCCACAAACTCTGTCTCTCGTCTTCATCTTCTAATTCTTTTACTCACATTATTGGAAAACTTTTTCTTCACATTGAATATTATTTTCTCCTGAGGATATTAGGTCTTTTCTTTCTTAGGATCTATTATCTTGACAAAATTTAACAAATATCAAAAAACCATCAATATAACTTTACAACAAATGTGATGTTTGAGAGCAAGAACTCTTTTGCTCAGTCTGTTGAAACTGAAGTGGAGCAAATTTTGGTTAAGTATCAAAAGTAAAACCATAGAAACTTGTTGAGTGCCACAGACTTTTAGCAGTAAGAATTTGAACAAGAAAACCAAAGAAAACATCTTACCTTGATATGGAAAAACCACTAAGCATATAGCTACCAAGAGAGCTTGGATCATTTTTAAGTCTGGATGGGCTGGCGGACAGGAAATCTCCTTCTGCTTCCAAGCCAACCTGAGCTCTTCTCCTATTGACTGTGAGAAGCATGTTCTTCAGCTTCATTCGTGCCCTTATATGCGAAAGTGTTTGCTAAAGGATTTGCCCAAATTCAGACTTGTAAGAATATGACAGGAGGACAGTTTTCCAACTGGCTTAGTGCTTGTCACTCCAACAATGACATCTGGAAAGCTTCTTTGACAGCATCACTCAAAGCAAAAGCCAAAAGGTGAGGATTAAATGCTCTTATGAATGCTGTCCTTGGCTCACATGTTAATACAACAAAAGTTGGGGCCTCTTGGGCATGGGGTCTTAAATGCCAAGAGTTGGTTTGCATAGTATTCAGTGAGTAAGATGCACTTTTTCCGCAATCTAGCATCCTTTCAATAGTGCTGGTTACCAGTCAATGAGCTCAATGAACTGACTTATAGAATCTGAAAAATGATGTTATTTTGGGAAAGACTGAAACCATGTCAATGCATTGACCTAAGGAACCCCTGACTTCACCACAGGGGAAAAACCCTGTATAACACAATAGATTTCTCCCTTTGTAGAGAACTCAAAAACATTTGTTTTCCCTCAGGGAACTCTACTTTTGATTACACTGTTAGGCAATTTTGGGAGAAAGAGAAGCCACAGTAGAAACAGCATCTTCATTCCAAGAGGACAAAGGCAAAACAACCTTCTCTTCATTTAGAAACAAGAAGATATATGAGCCTTTGAAACATTGTTTGGTGACCAGCTTGTTTTCTTTCAGAATTTCTGCCCTTACCATCACCAGATCTCCTCTCCTGCAATGAGACCAAACTAATTAAAATTGCAATGCTGTTGGGGGAAGAGCTATAAATGTATCTCAAGCCACATCTTATGCTGAATGTAACCTTTCTGTTTGAGGGGAGGATAAATGATAAGTCAGTATTACAATGTATGCATACTTCTGCAAATATAGCCTGCTTTTAATGCTTTTCTTATCTCAGTTTGATGATGAGTCTGATCTAAAATTTCTATATTCTTCTCTCATAATAGAAAAAAGGAGGAAAAGCTTTCTCTTTCAGTCATCTTAAAAATGAGTTACTCAATGAGCTCTCTTGAAATCAGAACGTGGTTCTGTTTGAGAGTGATCAAAGAGAAAAGAGATTAAGAAATCAGAATCCCATGATTGAGGTCATTCCTAATAGCTGCTACTCAACTGAACAACCTCATTCTTCCCATTAATTTGTATCTCTGTATCTCTATATTTTGCTCCTGAAGAAGAGATCATCACTCACNAATGTCTGCAAGGAAACAACTAACCTCTGAGAGCCATTTTTAACTGACCAAGTCAACATTCCCTGTGTTTTTCAATCCCTTTTTAAAACTAACTGGTTTTTTTTTATTTTCTATCCTCAGAACTCATGTCACTTTCTCATGCTTCCCAATGATACAACTATCATCAGAAAAATACAAGACATTGCACATACTCAATACAGCTAGGAAATATCTGTACAGTATTTGTATGGAGAAAGTTTGGCATGGAATCCGATATTGTATATTTCCTAGGGTTTGTTTGTTTTTTTAAAAAAGTAAAGTTTCTAGCTACACAAATGCAAAACATACACACACATACACATATAGATATATATGAATAGAAATAGAATACAATAGAACAGAACAGCACAGAAAATAACAGTGGAGTAGACCAGAGCAGAGCAGAAATCTTTATTGCCGAAGAGTGATTTGATGCACAAGGAATTTATCTTTGGTTCATAAGCTCTCATTGTACATAAAAAGCTATGAGTGATAAATCATGATCATAGTCAGTGGTGGGATTTAAGTAATTTAACAACTGTTTCTCCTAGTGATTGGTTGGGTAGGCGTGGCTTGGGAGCGTCATGTGACTGTGTGGGCATAGCCAACTCAATGTCACTCACGGCAAGGTGGGATGGTAATTTCCTACATACCATTCCCACCCGCTCTCGGGCTGACAAAATAAAAGCCCATTTAAAGATCACGGATGTCTGCCGAGCCTTACTGGTGCATGATGGAAAAAGGAGGCTAGGGGAAAAAAAGAGAAGGGCTGATAGAAATGCCCCATTTTCCACCCCATTGAGCTCTTTGGCCCAACCCAGTTTGGGATGGGGAGGTGGGGGGGGAGCACTTGATCCATACATACTCACCAGCATGGCACAGAATATCTCTTCCAGCTCACCGGTTCGGGTATTTGGAGCTTGAGGAGCAGATCATAAGCCATGAAGTCCATCTGCTGCTGCTCCAAGCCCGGCTCTGGCTACAGCCGACCATCAGCCAATTTTCTTCCAGTACTAATGCGAGGAACCCAGGGAGCTTAGCAACAACATATTGCATGCTGTTCACTCCAAGCAACCCAGGCTGGGACGGAAGAATGGTTCTACTTAACAAGCTCCAACCATTGCTGCTGCTCCAAGCCTGGTTCCCTGCATGAGCTCTGGAAGTCCTTCCCTGCCCAGTCAGCCCATGCACACCTCTTGCTCCAGTCACTGATTCTGACAGTGCCCCATTGCGCAACCCCCCCTCCCATTTTTTTAAAAATAATTGGAGCCACATGGAGGCAAGGCGCACCCACTTTTTCCCTCTATGACTGGCCTTGGAAAAGCCCACCCTCTTAATCGGACTCTCTTTCTTCCAGCACTAGTTCAAGGAACCCAGGGAGCTTAGCGGCTGCATATTACAGGCTTTTCATTCCAAGCAGCCTGGGCTGGAAAATGCATGGGTAGGGCAGAGGAGTGGTCCTCTTTAACAAGCTGGCCTACAGCTACTGCTGGCGGAAGAAGCCTCCAGCCCCGGTCTTTTTTTGGTATGAGAACCCTGCAGTCACCACTCTTGGTCAGTGCAAGAAGTCTGCAGCCATCCTCCTGCCAGCAAAGAGGCAGCGGCTGGAGGCTGCTCACACTGGCCAAGAGGCAGCAGCTATTACAGGCCATTCATGCCAGCGAGGGCCACTCATGCTTGCATCAGCAAAGAGGCGAAGGAAGGCTCACCAGACAGGCAGGTAGATGGGCTGGGTGGGAGGCAGTGGAGAATGGCGAAGAAAGGCTCGGCAAGCAACTGGGCCATGTGGAAGGCAAGTGGGCTGAGCTGCGGGGACCATGTGGTTGACTAGTGAGCTAGCAAGTGAGGAGATAGAGAGAAAGAGCTACTATACTGTAGCTAATGTGGGTGAGGTGAGATAAGGGGTGACTGAGAGGGGCATGATGGACGGGGCTAGCCAGTGGTTCTCCAAACTGCAAAATCTTAACAACTGGTTCACCTGAACCAGCTGAATCCCACCTCTGATAGTCACCATAAAAATAAATTCATCATAAACCATAAAATGCAACACTTAGTGACCGTAAGATGCTAAATAAGCAATCAAGGCAAATTGTAGTAATAAACTAAATAAAACAATATAAATCATAAAGATACAAGGAACAAAGTTAAAGTCATAAATAGAAAAGGAGATAGGTAATAGGAGAGAAGGCAATGTAGAATAACATGAATAACAATGCAGAATAACAAGGAGCTGGAGGCTAAAACATGATGAATGGTTGCAGGAACCGGGTTCATCTAGCCTAAGAGAAGGACTAAGAGGGACATGATAACATTTCCCAATCGTTAAGGGGCTAAGAGGGACAATCTATTCTCCAAAGTACCTGAATACAGGACAAGAAAAAATGGATGGAAACTAGTCAAGGAAAGAAGCAACCTACAACTAAGCAGAAATTTCTTGACAGTTGGAACAATTAACCAGTGGAAAGGTTGACCTTCAGACATTGTGGATGTTCCATCACTACTGATTTTTAAAAGGAGATTGACAGCCATTTGTCCAAAATGATATAGTTTTCCTACTTGAGGAGGACGTTGGACTAGAAGACCAACAAGGCCCCTTCCAGGTCTGTTATAGTATCATTCTGTTCTTCTGTTATTATTCTGTTGTTATTCTGTTATCTTCCATCACTTCATTTATCCCTCCACAACATGGACACAGTCTCTGTACAAAGGGGAACTGCTTGCCTCTCCCAGTACACATTCTAGCAAGGTTTGCAGTCTGAAGCTTATTTATCTTCTCTACCTGTAACATCAGCTCTTATATACAAAGGATAAATGGGCTTGGAAGCTTCTTCAGACAGACCTGATTTAGCTCCCTAGTGTCTATTGGCTGGCAGCAGCTGCTCTTGGTACCCAACCAAAGTCTTTCTAAATTCTGCAGAGGTCTTGGATCACACTCAACTAGTTTGCATGAATAACTGATGTTCATTTTAGAACTTCATTTTAACTATGGCAACTCCAAAAGCAGTGTTTTACACTTAATGAAATAAATAAAAGATAAGAGACTATCTTACTTCAAGCCATTGCATGCACTGATGACTGCAGTTGACTCAGCTTCATTCTGGAGGTGTCCATGATAATAGCAGTGATCCTGTATGGAGGCAAGAGGACTGCATTGGTTAAAGCTTGTTTGTAGTGTGATTTGATGAACAGAAATGCATTTCCAATGTATTTCACCACATCAATGAAATATTAAGAAAGCAATTATTCAGAACATTTTATAGCAATAGCAATAGCAGTTAGACTTATATACCGCTTCATAGGGCTTTCAGCCCTCTCTATGCGGTTTACAGAGTCAGCATATCACCCCCAACAATCTAGGTCCTCATTTTACCCACCTCAGAAGGATGGAAGGCTGAGTCAACCTTGAGCCAGTGGCATTTGAACAGCCGAACTGCTGAACTAGCAGTCAGCTGAAGTAGCCTGCAGTGCTGCATTTAACCACTGCGTCACCTCGGTTCTTAATTTTGATTCAGGGGGACAGAAGACCTGCTTAATATTGATTGTTCCAAAATGAACCTAGGCTAAACACAACTGTCCGTAAAAGCAAGTCACTCTGCAGGGGGAGCCCCATTGATGGTAAAATGATAAGAACTTTTGGGCAGACAACCAACACACAAATAGAAAATGTGTTGTTGAAATTACAAGCCCTTTCCTCGATCAACCTTGCCTTCTTGGAGATCAACTCTATTGATGAACCAAGGATTTGCTGAACAATTTTTCAGACTTGATGAT